GAGAGCAGCGATAGAGTCAATCTCGCCGCTCTCACACACATGTCGGTAATCCATAACAAGCATAATAGCAATGCTAATGGACAATTGGTTGGAGCCTCATTTCCCTGTTTTCGGTGGAGGAAATGATTGACGTCAAGCTTCCCATTTGTCACTGTTGCGCGTTTCGTGTGTGATTGAAAAATGACAGAGGTGGTGTTGGACTCTTGGGGATACGGTGGCATCACAAAACAAAGACACATGTAAAGAGGGAAAGGACTCGGCTGCAACCAAGTAGGGACGTCAAGCCTTTTGTTTGCCACATCGCTGTGAGGAGACGAGGACTAGAGGACCCCATATGTGCTTCATACCTTTGAGGCATCGAGAGTGATTGATGTGAGATGATAATGGTTGTACCAAACTCCCATTTCTGTTCCCATACCAATTATGCTACAATTCTCTTTCTCTTGGCGTTTTCAAACCTTATGTCAACTACAACATCGAGATACTAACAAACTACGACCAATCTATACCCTAGGACAGAATGACAAACTCGTCATTCTAAGAGTAACAATCGCGTTTGCATGAAGTATAAATTCGTATTGTACAAGAACCCTCAAGTCTATTCTCTAGATGGCGAGTTCATCGTTCATAAGCGTTGGAAGGTTGAATGTAGAGTTATTGAAATCTATATTCTTAAGTTGGTGCCCCCAACACAAATCGGCATCCTCGTAATTTTTCACTGCTTTTGGCATATTGGCCTAACTCTTGCCATTGGTCCCAACTGATCCAATTGTTCTAGATCATAGTTTAAAAACGAGTTATGTACTTGTTGAAATGGATTAAAAATTAAAATAGGTTAAGTTGAAGAACTTGGAGGGACAAAAATGATAATCTGTTTTATGCATGTGCATTAAGAGGAGATTGTGATAGCGTAAATGTGTAATACTATATATTTCACCATATAAACATTATTGGTGGGTCCTCAATTGACATAAGTGAAGGGTTGTCGACACTGTTTAGGCTGGCAAAAAATGATAGGACAAAGCCTGACCCCAAACTAAACTGCTCGATAGAGTACAAGAAGACACAAATCAAGCAAATGGAAAAATAAAAAATAAAGGAAGGGAATCCTACATAAAATAGAAGAGTGATTTAAATAGGTATAGAACTGTGATTGCTCATCATAAATGGTGGGCTTGACTTTGATGTGGATGTGGAGCCTTCCTCAGTTCCTCTAGACTCTTTTAATGAATATATGAAATACTTGTTCTTTTTGTGTAAATAAAATACTTGTTACTTGAGTAGTTCTTTGTTAGTTTACGTTTCATTTTATTCGCTAATTATTAAGAAAATAAGAGACTATCATCCAGATGATGTGATATCAAATTATCAATTGATGAAGAAGGACTGCTAGGAAACAGTTATACTTGTTGTAGTGTCGTATTGTGTATTGTTATGTACGTTACGTAAGAACGTCAAAACATATAATACTACATGATTGGTTTGAAAATACCGTCATAGTAACATCCTTTCGAAATAAGTTTCTCTCCATTCATAACTGAAACATAACAAAATTTTCAATATATTGTTAGTCAGCAAATGAAGCTAAACCTAGGTGTATTTTCTCTGGTTTATTTGGTCCCTCCCCTAGTTTCCTGCACCAGATGGCAGAGCCATGAGTTGTAAGTCATGAATCGGGTGCTCCTCGACCTTGAAAAACCTTGTAGCGAGGAAGGTGATCAAGGCCTCTCCTCTCTCTGCCTAATTTTGACAAAGACCCACCAAACTCGTTTTGCTTACTGTCCACCTTTTCTAATGGTTGGCATAAAATCAAGGGGTTCATCACACAAAGTTTCGTGAACATGCACTAATGCTGTAGCTTACAGCAACTTTACTGTGTGCAAATATTCGAAATTATCAGCAGTTCACATTTACTTCATACCTCGTTTGTGCATAAGTATATAAAAGCAATATCAATTTCTAGTTTTCGTGCGTTACAAGTTTTTTTGGATCGGAGTACAATTAGCTTTTGAGTTTGTTTCTCATCTAGGTTTGAATATATGATAATGACCTACTTTCTCCTTCAACTTCATGACAGATGTACATGATTTATAATACGATTCGTTGGGACCAAGTATGCTAACGCAGTATCGCGTGTTTCAAATTGAAAGTCAAAATCATATATACTTAGACACGAGTCTACATCCAAAAAATGACTAGATTATATGTTAGGTGAACAATAGTTTTCTGCTTACTTAATTAGTGGCATGCAAATTTGGATGGATTCATGAATATAATATTTGATTGGCGATTTTGATGGATTCATGACTCATGAGTATAATATTTTGTTTGGTAATATACTAATATAAGGAAATACTCTAAATAACATCATTAGTGTAGCAAATAGTTTCATTATATCGATCATCACAATGTGTTGTTGATATATTATCTCATTATCCATAGCAATTAGCTAGTCTCATATAGTTACAACATATAAAGTAGAATATGTAGTCGATATTGTCCATTGCTACATTAAAAATACTATTTGAGAACATGGCGGGCATGTTTATTAAGAAGAAATATATAGAAATTTGAATCATTTTGTTATGGAGCTTTTGCTAAAAAATGAGTATGAGAATCATTTACTTAACTTTATTCATGTGTTCACTAATACATAATATCATAAAAGTGTTAGTTCTTGTTAAAATTTATTATCAAATGCCTGAATGTCAAAAATCATATGAACTCATTCCTTCACCATCGTATTTTTATTTGATAGCTTTTACAAACAATATAACACACGTTTAATTACCAAATCACATCATCTCATTCAATATGTGTTCCACCATCTCATATCACATCACATGTTAACCAAATGGCATCATTATATTCAATAATATTTGATCGAACAATTAGGACCATCCAACATGTTTGATACATAAATTTTGCACGAGTGAACGGCGGGAATTAGGGATTGGCATGATTGCTTAGTTTGTGTTTTTGGCTTTGCGTTTATCCTCCATAAACAAAGTAATCGATGTTGGTCCATTTCATATAATCATGATATGTGTGTAGGGCAAGGAAATGGAATGACACGTGTTGAACACTCTCATCACATCACACATGTCGTCCTTACTCCCTCCCACATGCAATGATGCAAATTCACTTAGCAGCCTTGGCCCCCTCCTTGCCCGCGACTAATTAAACAATTGAATAGCAAAAAAATTAAACTTAGAAAAAACTGTGTGTTAGGACATGAAGCATGCGATTAAAACTAGATACAACTGCAATATTAATAGAGTAGCATTATCAATATACTTATTTTTATCTTTCACATATTTTCTTAATTTTTTTGCCACTAAACAGAATCAATTGACGAAAATCAATAGACAAAATTTAACAATAGAGTGTCGGAAGTAAAAAGAGGTGTGTGATTCGCACTACCCAATAAATTCATTTGAATATCTGATATCCCCCGAACTCATACATTTTGCATATCATTAAAATTCACTTCTACATGGATACAATTTAATAAAGTACTAGTTTCAATTCCCTAACTTCTACCCACAACTTTCCAAATCTTTGATTGCGCTCAACTCAACATTTTGCATCCCCTTATGTTTTACTTGTAGATTTGAAAGTGATCGACACTAAGTTTGAAGGAAGTATTTTCAAACAAATCATGTGCGCAAAATGTGGTTTTGGTATTGAAAGATAGAGTAATAATAACCAATTGAAAGTTGAACTAAAAGAATGAGGTAATGGAGAATCCAAAAAGGAATGGGTAATGCAGAGAAGAAGTATTATAAATAGTAAAACGGTATGTGACTAGTCTTCAATCTTAGCGTGTTGGTTCAAAAGTCTTCAACCGAAGTTGAACTTTGGTTGCTGTTAAGAGACTACCAACATTGTGTTATACATTGGATTAATTTCATTATAATACAAAAAAATGTGATGAAATTTGATTTGATGAAATCATGCTTAATAAAGTATTGTGTATATTTTATTTATTTAATGATACACGGGATGATGAAACACTGCATGCATTTTTTTGAATATTTTTGTAGGTGCGTACATATTCTGGCTTGTTGCATGGTTGGCTCAGGAAATCAAATCAAATTCACCATAAATATTTATAAATCGAACCTAATCGCTTCCTCCAACTAAGCATATTGCCAACCAAGCTTATTGGCAAATAGCATTGGACCCAAATTAAATTTCAGATACTTTATATTTATTGCTTGGTCGGTGAGAAAACTGTGGAAGAATAAATACCATTTATTTATTTACAAGTCTTCCAAAATCTACCACCAAAAACCCAACAAAACCACAAAAGGTCTTCTAAAATGAACTCATTATTTGCGAGTTTTAAATCTAAGATTTTTAGTCACAAGTGAAGATAAATATCATTATATTTTGGTATTAAAATGAACATAAGGCTTATCAATCACAAGTGAAGATAAATTTAACTATATTGTAATATTAAGTGACAAGTCTTATAAAATTTGAGAAAATGGTTTATGGAATTTACGTTTTTCAAAGGTGCTCAAGTTTAATTTTCCAATGTTAGAACATTTGGAAAGGAAATGGCACTAACAGTCATAAAAAGCAGTAACAATATTTTTTTAATCAAAAAATTAAATCTGATGTGGTATAACATAAATTATCAGCCCAAAATTGACAGCAGCTTCAATCTTTTCAATTAATTATTAAGGACATTTTGTTTATTTATTATTGTTTTTATAAAAATGTTTAATATAATAATTTAATATAATAAAGTAACATTTTAATTTGATACATCGTATAAATAACAAAATTTTAAAAAAGATATCGAACCGTCACATAAACTATTAAATTTAAATTTACACTTAAAACTTGATGCTGTTAATTGTTTTCAGCTTTTAAACGTGTTGACGAAGGCAACATCATCTTATTCACTTTAGATTAAAGAGTTAAGATTAGATTATTTATAAGAAAGAACAATAACTCCACCAAGTTGATAACTTTTAAAGAGGGAGGGAGAGGGAGGGAGAGTGGGATGCGTGTGTGTTGTGTGTCTGGTTTGGGCATTTGACTATTTGTGGCTTCCTTCAGTTTTTTTCCAGTTTCATACTCATTCTCCTGCTTTTTTACTGAGAATAGAAGAAAACAGAAGAACATAGACAACAATGGCATACACCACAATCCTCCTCTGCTGCTTCACCATTCCCAGAAACCAAAATTCCATCTGACCATTTCCAATCCAGCGGAATCAAAAACCCACCAAAACGCAGAAACCAAAATCCACCCGAATGGCGAAGACGGGCGTTTTCGACTCTGATCCGACGGCGGTAGCCAAGGCGGCGGAGTTGAAGAAGGAGCTGCAGAGGCTGGTGAAAGCAATTGTCGACGACGAGGATTTCACCACCCAGACAATCGATCAGGCCAGAGACACTCTCTCTGCTCTGAAAGAATTGAAGCTCAAGAAAAGATCGCTCTCTCTCAAGCTCAAGGATGTTCTATCCTGCCCCGAAGAGTTCCGGTGCCCTCTTTCGAAAGAGCTGATGAGAGACCCTGTGATTGTCTCCACAGGCGAGGTTGGTTTCGATTTTTGAGAATTGGGGTTTTTTTAGTTTGCTTGTTTGTTTTTTATTTTTTTTTTTGTTTTTTCAATTTTGAAGCTTTTTGACAGTGTTTTGAATTTCTGCAATTTTGGCTTCGTCCTCTGTTTTTTGGGGCTGAGAAAATGTCGGCAAGGAAAAGATAAGAATTTTTATTTTGTTTTTCCTTTTCACTTTCTCAGCAACCAAACACGGAGCTCTGAGGATTTATTTTGTGTGCCACGTAAAAGGAAGGTGATTTATTGTCTTCTTCCTTAGGTTACTGTTTGTGGTTATTTTAATTTTCTGTATGTGTTTGTACTGATTCAGAAACTTGAATTTATAGCAGTAATTGCTTGATTGGATAGAGTTTTGAGATTTGTTATAAATGTTGACAATGTTCTGCTAATTTTCTGCCAACTTTTATAGTACCATTTGGACACTATTTTGTAATTCATGATTTAAGTTCCTCAATGGTTCCTTAATTAGGTTGGATTTTTCACTCTTTGTATTGGCAGACATATGATAAGGCATTCATCGAAAAAGGACTGAAAGCGGGCAACAGGATATGCCCTCGAACGCAACAAGTGCTCACACACACTGTCCTTACTCCGAATCACTTGGTTCGTGAAATGATATCGCAATGGTGTAGGAATCGAGGGCTTGAATTGTCAGATCCCGTTCTCCATGTCAATGAGGATGGTATAACAGAATCTGATCGAGACCATTTTCTCTCTTTGCTCCGGAAGATGTCTTCGACGTTCCCTGAGCAGAAAGAAGCTGCGAAGGAGCTTCGGATGCTGACAAAGAGGATGCCTTCTTTCCGTGCGCTTTTTAACGAGTCTATACATGCCATTCCTCAATTGCTCAGTCCTCTATCTGAAGGGAAGTTTGAAGATGGTATTGACCCGGAACTCCAAGAAGATATTATCACAACACTATTGAATTTGTCAATCCACGACAACAACAAGAAGCTTGTGGCTGAAACTTTAATGGTAATTCCTTTACTTATGGAAGCATTGCAATCGGGGACTATTCAAACAAGGAGCAATGCAGCTGCAGCTCTTTTCACTTTGTCAGCTCTTGATTCCAACAAGGCACTTATTGGAAAATCAGGTGCCCTAAAGCCACTCATTGCCCTCCTAGACGAGGGACATCCATTAGCTATGAAAGATGTCGCCTCTGCAATTTTCAATCTATGCATTACTCATGAGAACAAGGCAAGAGCTGTGAGAGACGGGGCAGTGAGGACGATTCTGAAAAAGATAGCGAACAGTGTGCATGTTGATGAGCTGTTGGCCATCCTCGCAATGATCTCAAGCCATCCTAAGGCTGTGGAGGAAATGGGAGAGCTTGGAGGTGTTTCTTGCTTGCTCCGTGTTATCAGGGAGACCAATTGCTCACGCAACAAGGAGAATTGCATTGCAGTCCTTCACACGATCTGTTTGAATGACCGAACCAAGTGGAAGGAAATTAGGGAAGAAGAAAACACTTATGGAACGATATCTGAGCTTGCAAATAATGGAACTTCAAGGGCTAAGAGGAAAGCTAGTGGCATTCTTGATAGACTGAACAGATCTGTAAATCTCACACATACTGCATGATGGTGAATCCTCCTTTTCCACCATATTTGTAAATTCTTCACCCATTTCCAGAGCTCTGGTTGTTACTTGTTAGTAGTGTACTACTCAAGCAACTCCAAGCATCATGTGTTCATTCTCAATCCCTGTTTTGTATGTTCTCGTTTTATCTTCCGGAGTTTCGATTTCAAGTTCAAGAGCTAGCCATGAAGAAAAATCAAGCTTTATATATCTTATACATAAAAATTGTTTGGTTTATTTTGTTGAATGGTTCTAGCAGATGGTTCTCAAAAAATGCTACTTGGTAATTTTGCATTGCACAACAATGCAGGAGAGAAGTGGCCTGCACAAGAGAAAAACTAGGGTGTAATCACAGATATATCTCCATCTCTTGATCTGACTCACATCATCTCTCTATCTAACTCATCACATGATAAGGGAGATATATATATATATATATATATATATTACCGGTTACATGTAATAGTGCCAACCTGCACAGAACCCTTGTTTCTTCAACTATACAAAAACCATGAATGTTTTGACAATTTACAAACCCAATAATCCAAGTCCATAATCAACAGCTATTGCCGATAGATTGTTTCACTACAAACCAATGAGCTCGTTTACTCACTTTTGACCTTGAAATAAAGCAGAAAACAAATACCAATAACGAATGAATGGCTGCAGACAGTCTTGTTTTGATGATCAAAAGAACTGAAAATGCAAAAACGAGAAGAATGTGACCATATTGAATGGGTGCCGTGGCAATTATACAACCAAGGTTGTGGTCCATGGAAGATGCCTCTCTTTTTTTTAAAGTATTCATTGGAGGAGAATGCACAGCAGTTTGTAGTATCAAACAAAAAGGAAACTCGTCACAGAAATAAGTCATTTTTTGTTTTTGCAAATTACAGTTCAACGTATGTGTAAATAATTTGAAAAAACACAAATAAATAAAATAAATAAATTATGCAAACATAACAAACTATGTTCGGCATGGATGTAGGAACACTTATTTAAGGTTTCGCTCACTAATTAACTTTTGATTTTGGCAAACATATACAATCGTGCATATACACACACCTTATCTTGTGCTACAACATTTTCATATCTAGATATCTCCTCCTGGCCTCCCTCCATCGTTCATTTTCATCTTTTGTGAGATTCTTCTGCTTGTGATTCTTCCTTTGCTCTTATTCTTTCCCAGTCAAAGTCATGGGGACTCTTATTCTTTGTCCCATTTGTTTTTTATAAGTTTAGTGGAAAAAGATTAGGTGAGATTAGCTCTAGGGCAATAGTCGCGTGCGAGGCATCTATCCTCTCCTATAGGGGTGAGGACCATTACACCCAAAAAAGCCCCGTCCGTCCCTCCTCCACCATTTTATTAAGAAATATAAAGGAAAGAAAACTGAAAAATACAAGAGGGGGGACTATGCCAAAACCCGCAATGGCCAAATGATCAACGAAACCAACAATAAGGGTAAAATGAAATGTCACGAACATGGGCACATATAACAAAATCTAGAACTGATGACCATCAGCGATAAGCATAACTATCTACCCCAAATGAAGCTAAAAAATCAACAACTTGATTTCCTTCTCAATAAATATGCGTACATATAAATTGCATTTGACAAAATCGCTAAAAACAATTTTTTCAATCTACCATAAGAAATCAAAGGACCGCATTAGAAGCCTTGAAAATAATGCATAACCAACATAAAAACTGTCTCAATCATATTTGCTTCCAATCTTTGTCCGATTTATAATGATGAAGAACAAAAGCTGTTTTTTACCTTTAAATAGTGCAAACCCTACTTTATTATATATATAGGCTTTAGCTTTGTGTAGCTATGTGTACATAGTGAAAAGGAATTGATCAGGAAATAATTTGCCCTAGGGCCCCAAGGGTCGCGTCTTATACTCAGTGAAGGCGACATGTATGTTGAAAATGTCATTTACGGGAGAAATTCTAACGTATTAGATTGGAGGTGGATTGTCTGTCCTTCTATTTTTATACTTTTTTCATGTTTTACTGTGATGTGTGATCACGGTTAAATCACGTCAATATTTTATATTAATTTTTTATAGAAATAATAAAATAAAAAGTAATAGGAATATAAAATGTTGACGTGGCTTAACTGTGACCACACAAACAGGAGGGCATGGAGAGAGTATGGAAATAGGAGGACAGACAATCCACCTCCTATTAGATCATGACCCACCATGTCTTGTGGCCTCACACAATAACTTCTTTTTATAGATCACTGTTCTAAAAATCTCCGCCTAGCTTTGCTTAGGCTCCGTCTATGCGCTAAGCGGTTGTCCACCGTTCCAATTATTCCATAGTTGTTTGAAAATTAAGAAAAGGCACGAAAACCCACTTAGGCACCCACTGAGACCGCCTAGATGCCTGCCTAGCCCATCTGGACCAGCCTAGCTCGCAACTTTCTTACCCAGAAAATAGATAACTTTTATTTTACATTTTATTTTTTTAATAAATTGTAGGATACTTGCTGAATACGCACTATATGTTTATTCTCCATATTTTCATTATGTTCTAATACTTTATAATCTATGTTATTCTATTTTACAATTTATGTATGCAATTATGTATGCTTTACGTATAAGTAAAGACTTATTTATACGATATATAAATTTACTTCAATCCACCTAGGCTCCACTTAGTCGTCTAAGCGCTAAGCCCTAGCTTGTCGCCCAACTAGTGGCGAGCATCTTTTAGAACCTTGTTATGGACACTTGTACATATTAAAAATTCATCTTGAGCAAGTGACAGGTCTTTTGACAAGAGAAGTGTTATTACGATGAGATGTGTATTTGTCCCTTTAAACTTGTAGTTAATCAAGGAGAGAAGCATCAAATTACTTACCAAGATCTTAAATCGTTCTAATAGGTGGGAGGAGAATTCGAGCGTGGAGTGCAAAAGAATGAGCAAACTGCCTTTATATCGACTCCGACTCTAACACCTCCAAATCCAATGCACGTTGGAAAGGTAACTATGAATCTGATTGATCACGTTTGATAAGGTGTTATTTCACCCTCATACCAAAGTATAAGCAAATAAGGATAAAGAGTCTTGTATGTCTCTGAATAATTGAGGTTTGGTCTATTCAAGCCAACCCTACAAAACATGGGATGGAAATCATGGAATAACATGTGGTGGAGAAATTAGAGGATCTGTTTATCCAAACGAGATGTGGTGGACTCAAGGAATACTGTACTCTTTCACCACCCACAAATTAAGATGAGAAAATTAATAACGAGGCTCAAAAAAGCAAGAGATTCGTTGTACCTTGTAATATTAATGCCGCATTTTGTTTGCTTGCAGAGCCTGGGGTGTTGTATTGTTACCTCGCCAAATAGTTCCTTCAACAAATCAAATGACAGAATGCATTTATTTTGCGATTTGTACAATATACTTTGTAAGATGAGTACGTACTTGTCACAATTCTCAAAACTTTATAGTCATTCAAATGCGAATCTTATCCAAAGACATAACTTGGCATATCATAGTTTGCGAAATGAGTATTAGGTTTGGGCACAACCATAATTTTTCTTATACAAGAGCTCCAAATTATTAATGACTGCCACAAGAAGTAAGGCAAACAATCCCGTTACAAGTTCAGATCACATTCGTACCTCGTAGTAATCGTGCCTAAGTCTTATTTGTCTTTCAAGCAAGTATTGGGACTTGGGAATGGATTCATATGTTTGGTGTACTCACTCAGTGTGGATGACGTAGGGTTGTCCCAGCGCAACATGAAAAGCTCGGAAGCAGGACTATACCTAGTAGAAGGAGTTGAACGATGTGGTTGGGGTTGTCAAATTGCATTGCGCAGCTGCTGTCTGATCAGGTGGATGTGAACGACGACAGAACTTTTGATCATACGATTCCATGATCTGCATCTATCGGTTTTCTTCAATGGGAGATCTTCCATAGAATTTCATTTATGTTCGTTCAGGAGCTAGCTGTGGAGGAAATCAGAGAGCTTGGAGGTGTTTCTTGTTTGCTCAGTGTTATCAGGGAGACCAATTGCACACGCAAGAAGGAGAATTGCATTGCTGTCCTTCACAGAGTCTGTTTGAATGACCGAACCAAGTGGAAGGAAATTAGGGAAGAAGAGAACACATATGGAACGATATCCAAGCTCGCACAGAATGGAACTTCAAGGGCTAAGTGTGAACAGAACTGTAAATCTCACACATACTGCATGATGGTGAATCCAATACCATATTTGTAAATTCTTAACCTATTTCCAGAGCTCTAGTTGTTACTTGTTAGTATAGTGTACAACTTAAGCAACTCCAAGCATCATGTGTTCATTCTCAATCCCTGTTTTGTTTGTTCTCGTTTTAGCTTCCAAAGTTTCGATTTCAAGTTCAGGAGCTAGCCATGAAGAAGAAACAAAAATCAAGCTTTATATATCTTATGCATAAATAAAAAATAAAAAATAAAAATTCTTTGTTTTGTTTTGTTGAATGGTTGTAGCAGATGGTTCTCCAAAAATGCTACTTGATAATTTTGCATTACACAACAATGCAGGAGAGAATTGGCCTGCACAATAGTAAAACTAGAGTGTAATCACATATATATCTCCATCTCTGGATCTGACTCGCATCCTCTCTCTATCCAACTCATCACGTGATAAGTGAGTTATATAATCCCGATACATGTAATAATGCCACCCCGCACAGAACCCTTGTTTCTTCAACTACACAAAAATTAATTACAGCCCAATAATCAACAGCTATTGCCGATAGATTGTTTCAGTACAATACAATGAGCTCCTTTACTCGCTTTTGACCTTTAAATAAAGCAGAAAACAATTACCAATAACGAATGAGTGGCTGTAGACAGTCTTGTTTTAATGATCAAAAGAACGGAAAATGCAAAAACGAGAAGAATGTGACCATATTGAATGGGTGCGGTGGCAATTTACAACTAGGGGCTGTGGTCCATTGAATATGCCCCTCTTTTTGTGAAAGTATTCATTGGAGGAGAGAACACAGCAGTTATATAGTATCAAAGGCGAATGGAGCAAAAGGAAAATCGTTCAGGAAACGAGTCATTTTTCTTTTTTGCAAATCACAGTTTAACACATGTACAAATAACTCGAAAAAACACAAAGAAAATTTTATGCACACATACCAAACTATGATCGCGTGAATGTAAGAACGCTTATTTCTAAAGTTCTGCGTCCAAAAACTAACTTACTATTGATTTTGGCAACTTA